TCATATATAATTCCTACCTCGTAAGGGTGGTGCCAGATAGCTAAAGAACCACCTGACTGCATTGAAATTGCCAGAGTTAAGATGTTCAATTTCTAGAGAAATGGAGTCGGTTTGACAATTTTTATGACCGTTCATTAGCTGGCAGAACAGTAGTACCAAAGTTTGTGAAGGTTAAGAGATAGGCGAATGTAGTTACACGTCTCTGAATTCCTACCGCTTAATTAAGTCGGTTTTACCAGCTGATAGGAAACCCATCATAAGGTAGGTAACATGCTGCGTATCATTAACTACGAAGTGATTTACTAAGCGGAAGAGAGGCAGCGTGGTTAAACATTTATTTATAATTAGAAACATTCAGGGACTCTCTTGCCAATAGTTTGCAGGCCTGAAATACGGCAATTTCAAACTTGAAAAACGTTCCCAGTTAATATCTTTCGCGTGCCTGTTTTGGTTGTTAATGCAAGCTTCATCATCAAAAAAGGTAGCCAAAAAACAACAATAAACAACAAGAATGTTTTTGTGGACATTCTGACTACCTTCCTCATCATTTTTCGCTCGTCAGTTAATTACTTTTATAATTTTTGCCTTGCCAGTACTATTTGTTACTCACAAGCGCCCAGTTTATTTCTTGAAATTTCTTAGGGTCTTACCTACAGAAGCGCATTTATACATTTCTAAAAGCCAGATTTGGAGGGTTTGATTATGGCAGTGCTAAAGAACGGCAGTGACACTTCTCTGAGAGATAAGGGAAATGAAAGACGATGAGAGGTGACAAGAGCACCATCAGTTATTTAAAACAGCTGCACGAGCGATACCAACTGCAAACAAGACTGTCATCGCAGTGCCTGACATGTACACTTATGTACAAACACATGAAAGAAGAAAAAAAAAAGATATGAAGAAAAGGATAGCTATGAAAATTTTTAATAGAAATTAAAGTAGGACCTACTCTTCACATACTTTTATTTTTCTTTTACTTAAATCAGTTTGAAGTACACGAGATAATGACTATATATAACAACGCATGCTAATAAAAAAACGGCGTCGAAAATAATTAAATATATGTTATATCAAAATACGAGTAATAGTGAGCGGATGTGGCTTGATCGTAATCTCTGGAAGGGATGATAACAATAACTTTGTCACAACATAGACAATGATAACTCTACAACAATTGTCAATGCCACTTTCTAGACATTAAGAATTACAATTACATCAACTTCTGAACTCACTCTTATTCCTCTCCGGCTGTATCACCTAAGTATTTATTCTTCGAATACTGCGATACCTTCCA